TATGGAGTGGTTGGGTCTCCTCAAAGATCGCTCCAACTGCTGCTGTCCAAAATAGATGGTAAATCTGTCTCCTCAAATGGACCAGGAGACCTCATCCTTCTCCATGAATATGGTCAGGTAGGAAACAACGAAATGGTAGAAGAAGGGAGAGATGCACTATGGGAAAGAACACTGGTCGTCCACTTTACTCTGAGCCCCAATCTCACAGCTTTCAGAACTTTCATTTGTACTACAAGCCTTTGTACCACACAATGTCTCTTTTTCTTTTTTACCAACCTGACATGTTTTTAAAATGTTTTCCATTTATTCCATGGGTGATATGTTTAACCCTTTTCTGTATCTGGCACAGCAGTGGCAAAATGTGTTCCGGATCCAACTGCTGTCCATTTGCACAGTCGTGCAGATTTTAGTAAACGCTGGGTTATTGATTCAGGCTCCTCATCGAGCTGTTTGCAGAAGCATCCGAGACAGTCTGCTTCATCAACATGGCCAGGGAGTTCCTCCTCGGCTCTTTGTAGAGGAAATGCCTTTGATTTTCACTTCCTGCTCTAAAATTCCATTTGTCACCCCACATCCTTGCTTCATTCCACAGTTTGATGTGGTCCTCGGGGTCCGCTATCTTTCATGGTTTTAAATAGTCAAATCCCTTGTTCCTTTCCTTTCCAAATACAAACCGAACGTTCTCCATTTCTTACTTCAAAATTAGTGTGTCACATTCATTTCAAACCAGATGCCATACTTGTATCGTCACATTGCAACACACTGCACAAACACTGCTGTCATTATAACACACTGCACATGCACTGCTGTCATTATTACACACTGCACAAACACTGCTGTCATTATAACACACTGCACATGCACTGCTGTCATTATTACACACTGCACAAACACTGCTGTCATTATAACACACTGCACCAACACTGCTGTCATTATAACACACTACACATGCACTGCTGTCATTATTACACACTGCACAAACACTGCTGTCATTATAACACACTGCACATGCACTGCTGTCATGATAACACACTGCACATACATTGCTGTCATGATAACACACTGCACAAATGCTAGTGTCATTATAACACACTGCACAAATGCTACTGCATCCCATCACACTATCATTTTTTGAAACCATTGGTGCACTTAGCCATGGCCTGGCAGCTGAGTCCTCTCCCCTGGCTGCTGTGGGGAATCGTTGCAGCAGACAGATTGGATTGATTGAGGCACATAGAGGCACCAAGCAGTTACATGTGTTGGACAACACCTGTGCTGCACCGAGGCCATTGTACTGTAACCGAATCTCATCGCATTATCTTCCTGACAAGATCAACACCCAGCTGAGATGGCTCTGCTCCGTTAAGGCAGGAGTGACAGCACTTACTGCTGTAATGTTACATTAAATCATTATTTTTTCCAGATGTTTTTATTCTTTATTTATTTATTTTTTTACTGCAGCTCATTTTCTTTGCTGGTTAGAGAGAGTCAGAATCACATGACACAAGACATAATCCTCATCTGTTTTTCGGGGGCATTAGCACGCCACAACTGTGGTGTAGTTATTCTTTTTAGAAACCTTTCACATGTCTGTGCTGAAATTGAGGATTGGATTTTCACGCTACAGTAGACTACAACAGAAATGAAGATGCTAGCGTTGCATTAGACCCTCCACAGGGGACTGAGAACAGTGGTTTTGACTGAGGATACGGTGTTGATGCACACCCAGCGGAACACTATCATCTGATGTTGATTTAGTTGTAGCGAGATGGCTATTCCCGTTTGCTGCAGAATCCAGTTAAAGCTGTATTGAATTAATTTAGCAGCATCTTTCTATCTATCTAAAAAACAAGAGAGGATGATGATTTATAAAGCCATTAAATTCAACTTTACCCTTTGAAGGGGGAAAAATGATTTATTTATGAGATATACATTTGAAGCAAAATGTATGTCCTCACATGGGTTCAAGCCACAAGCATCTTTCAGGTAGTAGATTTGTACCTCAAAGCACCTCTGAATGTTGTAAATCAGAACTAAATATTGACCACAAATGTTAAAGTTTCACAAGGCCCCAGAATAGAGAGGAGAGAGATTTGATGTAATGTTCAGTAAATATGTTTCCCATGGCTGCAAAATGTATTGCATTTAGAATCTGGAGTGGTGGCCACTTCACAGCAGTCTGTTTCTCTGTCCAGTGCTGTGAATACCTGTGAATGACTGCTCTGAGAGGTACGGCCAAACCAGAGAGGTGCTTACAAAATTCAGCTCAGAATGGAGTCGAGTAGCTCAGGGGGTCACTGTGCTCTTTTAACCTGGAGGCTTGGTCAATAAGCAGAGCCGTTTTCATGGTGCTCTCGGATAACCCCCAAAAACCCCCCCAGGGCTTTTCAGGTGTCAACAATTTGGACTGAAGCCGCTTTCTCTTCTAAATGCTAACGGTCAGATTTATGTGGAGCAAACACAGCGTTGCACCTGAAAGCCACAGTGATGGCTTAAACAAGTGAACAGAATCACCGTGCTAATGTGAGAATGCTATATTCAGCCGGGCCTGTAAAGTTAGATTTTCTTGAGTGCAATCTATTGGTTTAGTATTAAAGGTGAAATATTAAAGGATAAATCTTGCATGATATGTCATGAACAGGCGCATGCGTTGTTCGGAATTCCGAAGGGTGTTCTAGAATCCCGTAGTCCTCCTCACGTCAGAGGAAGCAGCCTTGCCCCACCAATCAGAGCTCTTCACCAGACTGAATGGAGAATTCCGGAACACAGCCGGTAACAAAGCTGGCTTTTCCCTCTGATCTCTGACAGAAAAAAAAGGATCCATATTAGTGTCTCTGTACAATTTGTGCATGGTTTCAGTTTCATTGTTTAGAATTTGATTGAAAAGCCAGGCTATTAAAGCAAAACTAGACTTTCTGAAAAAAGACAGCCTTGCACATTTTGTGCTTTGTTTTTTTTCTATCCTGGTCTTTTTAGCTGTATTTTTTACCCCATTTTTCCTGTTATGAGATTGTGGATAACAGGGCAGGGAGCAGCCGCCTGGGTAGGTGTGCAGAGAATGAGACACTGACAGTTTCTGCGCCCCAGCGATCGAGGGACTCGCAGATTTATTTATTTATATAGCGCCTTTCAAACAACGCATGACAAAGTGCTTCAACAAACAATTGATTTGAAATAATGGAAAACGCAATACCAAAAAACATCAAAACAGAATGAGGTACATTGATTGTGTTTACTGATAATAAAAGCAATTATAATATGCAGACAGTAAAATAAAAAAAAATCAAGAAAACAAATTAAGAGGCATTATAAGATATTATGTTGAAAATGCGTCTTAAACTTGGTCCTGAATGATGGCATTGACGCAGCTGCTGTACTGTCCAAATGAAGCCCAGGGGGTGTGACTGAAATGCGTAACCTCCCTTACTCTTCAACCATCTGTGATTTATCTGTGATTTATCTGACGACCTGAGAGGGCAATTAGTTTGGTAAGGTGACAAGCTCGGTCATGTATTCTGGTGTCAAACCACGTAAGAACTGTTAGCAATCAGTACCTTTTTTAAATCAGGCAGGAAATTCATCTGGTAGCCAGTGTAAGGACGCTAAAATCTGAGCGATACATGATGTACTACTCATCCATATTTACTGAAGTTGAATTTTGTACCGCTTGGAGCCAGGCCATGCCTAGATGGCTTAAACAAGTATATGGGGAATTGCAGTACTTCCAAACATGAATATACAAATCTATGTATGACTTCTTCTTGTAATGATAACAGCAATCTAATTTTGGATGTATTTCTTTTATATATATAATATTTCTATATACATATATATATATATATATATATATATATATATATATATATATATATATATATACATATATATTTCTTTATATATTTATTATATATTTCAAATATGTTGCTACCAGCTTTGTGTGGATCAAGACTGGGATTCAGGAGCATGCTCTGAACCAAAAATAAAAACCTGCGATGCTTGCATGTGTCGCCCTGCTGTGTTGGTGTTCACCATAGTCTGCTCAGCTGCTGGTAATGTACAGTGTGCTCACAGCGCTGGGGGCACCTGCATGCATGACTGGGCCACTAGTGGGGGAGGGGGAGGGGGAGGGGTGGGCGGGGGGGGGTTGGGTGGGAAGCTGTCCCTCACGCCACACCCACCCAGCGTAGTCCTGATCCTTGAGCTTCGAATGTGTCATGCTGGACCCCCCCCCCCCACCCCCCTGCACCCACCCCGTGACACTTGGCACAGTGGTGGGGGTGAAGGGGTCAGAGGGGGAGCAGTCTTGATGCTCACCCCCCCCCGCCACCCCCTTCAACCTGAGGCCCCTAAAAATCAAGCAAAACCACCATGCAGAAGCCCCTTCCTGCAGACCCTGGAGGTGTGGGGGGGGGGGGCGGTGTCTTGTCAGCCATCAGAAAATGGAGCACTCCTCTCAGTGGCCTGGAAGTAAATAGATCGATGAATAGCCATGTCAAGCTGTATGGCCTATTTCATTTTATAGCCCCAGATTTTACTGGCATGGAATTGCTTTGTTCCAAGCTTCTGGCTGTACAGGTGCTAATGCCGGTCCTGTGAATGAGACGCACGGCATTCTGTCGCCTGGGAGTTAATGGCCGCTTTGCATGTATTGGGCGCGCTTGCGTTATGTGTATCTGTGTGCTTATATGTCGGCGAGGGAGAGAATAACACGCCATGAAATGAAACATGTGGCCAGCTTTCTTCTTTCCTCAAGGGCTGACAGAGATGTTTACACCAGGAATGCAATGGTTATGTCGTGTTTTTTTTTTTCTTGTGCTGTAAACACAAAAACATACAATATATTAATTATTTATGTGTCCTCTGACTGCTCATCTGGAATGGGAGTCTGTCTCGGAGATTCAGCTCTAAGTAGTTAATGATTCATGAGGACAGAATAATCTCAGAAATCAGAATCCTAATTACCATTTATTTGGAGATAAAGGAAGAAATTTGAATTATTTTTCTGTGTTGTATAATGGTTAGGCAGCTGGCCTTGTAACTCAGAGGTTGTGGGTTCAATTCCCAGCCATGGCATTGTCTCAAGCAAAGTACTTCACAAGAAGTGTGTAAATGGACAGTGTATAGAAATGTTCGCCAGGTAAATCATCCTGAACAAGAGCATCTCCTTAAGTTTAATCTTCAAGTTTCAAGCTAGTGGGTGGAATTGTGGATATCAGAGAGAGAAAAAAATGTCTGCAGTCACAGAACATATGAAACCCAGGTTCAACCAAGCGTAAGCAGAGCTGGGTTCAATCCCAGTTTTCATATTTTCTGGCATCAAATATGCAAGAGAGCAGAAAACATAAAGGCTCTGTAATTCAGTTTGAAATTAGAATCCGGCATTCCATTTTTTCTTCGGCAACTTCACCTGTCGTATTACCAGAGAAACTGCAGGTGCAGAGCCTTGACTTCTCTGTCAAACTCAGTTTTCACTGTGTCAGGGTGTCTCTTATTTGCTCTATTGCCGTGGTATATTCATTTTTGCATTAAACATATATATCAGATTGTATTCAATTAGATTATATTGTTACGGTCATAAAATTTGACGAGGCAAAAAAAAAAAAAAAAACCTTTACCCGTTAAATGCATCATTTGTGTTTGCCTGGTTCAATACATCTTGCAGTTAAATGATGCCTGTTATTTATGTCTACTGCCAACAACTATTTGTAGGCTTTCACAGCCATCATTCATCTGCTGTATATTTTTAGGGAAAATGAAATGGGGCCATGTATTAGCATTTTCACCTTTTTCATTTTTTTCTTTCACTTCTTTTTTTTCTTTTTTCTTACAGCTTTCATTCATACATGCACAGGTCCATTAGCTAGAAGGGAAAACAGGACATTCATTTTCCAAAAGGTAAAGAAAAGAAAAGTTTATGGTTAAGGGAGCATTATACAAATAAAAGGTGTGAGGTTTGTGTGGTTTTATCTGTAGACTTAATTGTGAAGATAATATCATCACAGCTGCTGTTTTTTTAAATAACATGCTGGTGTAGTTTCTAATGGCTACAGTTTAATCAGCTTCAAGATCTCAAAATGGAATTGAAATGAATTTGGCCAAAGCCGTTCAGGATTAAACTGGTAGTTTGTATTTCTAACCAAAAAGAAATGTTTATTTTAGGATTATTCTCTTTTTAGTTCAAAGTACTTAACTATGAGCTATGCTTTTCAGGAAATGTTTTTAAACTATTATTCCCCCTCTTTGCCATTTGTGCCTCTTTCCCAATTATGTTGACTTGCAGAAGATTAAGGTCCTAGCTAGCGAATGACATGGCCATAGCTGGAAACCTACAGGGCCCAGCATCTACCCATGGTGAACACCTTTACTGACTGAGTCAGATTGGTGTCTCTACACAGAAGATTAAGTGTAACTGTTTATAAACTGAGCAAAACTTATGGTGTTGAATAGGAAGAAAATAGCTATATTCATGTTCTGATGAATGAAACTGGTGTGTAATGATTATAACAGCTTTCTCTGTTTGGGATTAAGATCTGATAAGCATATTTGCTTCATGTTCCGAGATGAAGCATGCCTCTGGGAGCTTAAAGTGAATCCTGTCAACAGGAGAGTGAGGGTTTATGGTTAGGAGAATGAGAAGGAGAGTGAGGGTTTAAGGTTAGGAGAATGAGCAGGAGAGTGAGGGTTTAAGGTTAGGAGAATGAGCAGGAGAGTGAGGGTTTAAGGTTAGGAGAATGAGCAGGAGAGTGAGGGTTTAAGGTTAAGGGAATGAGCAGGAGAGTGAGGGTTTAAGGTTAGGAGAATGAGCAAGGAGGAAGCACAGGTAGTATAATAAGAGGCTTCAGTGTTCTGCAGGCGCTGTCATTACAGATGGGAAACTTTCTGCAGTTTTTAATTAAACATGGAGGGAATTGATGGCAGTAAAACCCATTGATGCCCCTAACAGACCCTGTAAGGCCCATACATAATGTTACCACATGAGTAAAAATGAAGCTGGCAAACTAGGTATAATAGTTATCCTAAAAATTGGATATTTGTAAATGCTCTAGCTTTTAACATCTCATATTACTTATTCTGCCTGTGGAAACGGCTATTTTCATCTTGTTAGTGTGCATTAAAATTGTGGAAGAAATTGTGTTGAGTGGAAGAGAAAAAAATGTGCCAGTGTGCTGGCTGGGTCTCATCTCTGAGATGGGAAGGAGGCTGTAGCCATGCGGCAGAGCAGCGCACGGCACGCAGAGATGCAGCGTACGTCTGACACTTCCCTCCAAGGCTTATTTATGTAAGGTTACGCGTGATGTGACCCAAGATTTATTTACGTGTGTCCCGACTCTGGCCTTTCGCACAAAACGCAAGGGGCTGATCTTCTTTTGTGGGATTGCTTTTGTGCAGTAAATAGGGGTGTTGCGCGCCGCGTGCCGCTAAGCTCTCCTCTCAGATTGGAGAGGTTGTGCTGAAGGAAAAGAGGTAACAAGTAAATAAAAGACGGGCATGCTGCGCACCAAAATAAAGCTGTTGGAATTTTGCCGTAAAACTTCCATAGACGGTAGTAACTGTGTGAGGGGCGATCTGTGATTTATTGCCCCTGTAGAGGTCAGGAGCAAGTCAGCTGTTTATATTTTGACCAGGTGGCAGGGGACAAAGAGGGCATTCCCCCTCTAGATAAGGTCTGGAATTGAAGCGCCGTTTCTGATTTAGCTGCAGCTAGAAGGACACTTTGACACATTCAGTCAGCTCATTTGAAACTTTGACGGCCCTTGTCTAAAACATACTGTACATTTTTCATACTCTTGAACTCTGTTGACAGAACGTATAACATCTCTTGGCAGACACACGAATCAATACTCAGAAAAAAAGGTATGTGTATGTGTGTGTGTATATATCTATATATATATATGTTTTTTTCTGAAGCTTGATAATGAATTATTGGCTCATTAACAAACTCTATTAGCCATGTCCATGTATGCGGTCCCAGTAGTGTAATGGGAATGGACTGAGTGATGCACTACAATATGAAGACTAATTACCTTTGAAGAAAGAGTCAGTATTCTTCTCTAATTCTCGGAGGGTCCCTAGACGTCCCTTTAGTTTGCTCTAATTGCTGTAATTGTACTGTCACCATTTCATTTGCATAAAGAAAATGATGCAGTTTTGTTGCTCCTTGTTAACTTTTTTTTTCTGTTTCCACATAGAAGAATTTAAACAAATCAAATCTGATTTCATTTTGTTGCACCTCTGCATAATACTGAAATTGGTACAATGAAGGAAATGCAATTATTTAGTGTTTCAGTTATTGCTTTGGAAATATGTTTTTTTTTGTGGTATTGCGTGCATTTTTAAGCTTCAAAGGATAATAAAGTTAAACAAAGTTTAAGTTTGTGTTTGAGTTGCATTGTTGTTATCCGTCATGTCGCCATTGATAACACTGCTGCAATGACTGTGTAATGGGTATGCAGTCTTTTAAAATGTTTCATAACCTTACATAATCAGATGAAAAAACATCCAAACAGCAGGTAAAGGTGTGGTTTCAGCACAGATGTTTTAGCATCTGTCATGAATGGAACCCAGGCATTGTGCAAGGAATTATGGGCCTAACCTTTGACCTCAGAGTTTCTCTGCTCTGTGACTGATAGCATGTAGCCTGGTTATATGATAGAATATCACCAAATACATATTTTCAGGGTCCCTTTTAAATCTGCAATCTTCAAAAACATTGATTAACACCTGAGGACAAATAAGGTCATATTCGGAGAGTGGCTTGTCAGGTTTCACGAAAGCTCCACAATGTCAGAGAGTACAGACTGTGGTCATGGTATGACTGTCGGCTCTAAATTTAGCATGTCACTGTCAGTGCATTGTATTCAGAATTAGACGTTTGGATGTTTTCCTTTTTTCACAAACACAATTAGCAATACAATGCCTTACCAAATGGGCTGTCCCATTGGCCAAGCCAGTTTGGCTTTTGTTATGGCACAAATTGTGTGAGGTACTTCCACCTCAGTTTTGTTGACTTTTGCTTTTTTTTTACTCGCATAAAACACAAATCCTTCACATTAGTAAAATTTACCTCAGAAAGAAATACAACTTCTGCACCAATTTTCACCACTTTTGTAGTGGCAACTACAACCACTAATACCAGTACGATATATATACAACTGTATCTGATTAGATTTTTTGCATCTCATTACTTTTAACCATGAAAAATGTCTTTTGTTTATAAAACAAACTAAACAGCACTGATAGGATAGAAGATGAGATTATTATTGCAGTTTTTTGAGAAAATGAAAGTGAGAATCTGCAGTAATGCATCATATTGTTCCGTTGCATCAGCACAGACTTCAGATCTTGGAGAACCTGACCAATCAGCTTTGAGCTTCATTTAATTAGTGATCTTGACCCCCCACTCAGCCTGGTTACAAAATACCAAATTCAAATGAGTGGGTTCAGTTCAATGAGTACACTTGTTTAATATCCACGTCCCTCCAAGCTGGTTCCAGTAAACCTCTGGAATACTAAATACACCGGCAGCAAATTGGATGAAATTGTTGTGTATGCTACATTCATTAAGAGGATGCCTTCTAGATAGACTTCCACATTGATTAAATGGTAATTCTTTTTTAAGATGCAGTTTTTTTTTCCTGTAGTAATCCTTTATGTGGAGGAAGTGGGTGTGTTGATGATGAATGAAGACCTCTCTCTTCCCGGGAAGGAGCGGGTTTTGTTGTCTTTGAACTCCAGGATGCGTGCAGTAGATGTGGATGGCTTCTTTAAAGTTTACAGTGGAGTAGTTCTCAGACTCAAGAACAAGGCAGGATTTTATCCTTCAGTATCAAAGCAGGTGTCAGCTTTTATCAAATTGGTCTATGAAGAGATTACAGGGAGTGGCTAGATAGGCATTTTTTCTTGAACATTAAAGCTTTCTAGTAACAATAATGAAAACAAATACTTCCAATATAACAGCCTGCAGTACAGGGAAACAATATCTATAGAAACGATAGCTGTTAAGTATATGAAAGTTATGTACAGTTAAGTACATTGAAATAATTACAATTGTTATTCTTGATAGCAAATCATACG